GATGGGTTCCATACATGCTCCAACCGAAGCTGCATCTGATGAAGCCCATGCGTGGCACATGTGCAATTCCATGATCTCAGGATGGATCCACAACACTATTGATCCTCAACTTCGTCCCTTTATCAAATACTTTTCCACAGCTAAGCAACTATGGGATGATTTAAAGGACAGGTATGATGTTGCAAACATCCCTCGAATTTACCAGTTAAAGAGTCTTCTTCCTTCCATCAAACAACAAGGTTCCTCTATCAGTCACTATTACACCCGTCTTCGAGCCATATGGGATGAACTCGAGGAGCATTAACGTCTGACCCTTGCTCAAACGGTGACCAATGTCCCGCAACTAAACTCCTCAATACCATCGTGACCAACAATCAGATTTATCAGTTTCTCATGGGACTTGATGAAGCTACCTTTGGCATCATCCATTCTCAAATCCTAAACACCAACCCATTGCCCAACCTTAGTCGTATATACTCTATGACAACTCAAGAGGAAACTCACAAATCCATCGTCTGTGCCTCACCTAATCGAGTTGATGTTGTCGAGTATGCACTCCAAACCAAGCCAACGTCTTCTACACCAGCAAGGGCAGCCCCTCCAACCCGTGTTTGCACACACTATGGCACACCTAATCATGACATCTCAAAATGTTTCTTTCTTCATGGATTTCCTCCAAAATCCTCAAGCAAGGATCGCTTCAAAACTCGCAACAATTCGGCCTCAGCTCATGCTGCATTGATGCCAGGACTTTAGCCTACCCCCTCAACTGCAAATGTTGCTGCACCTTTAACTCCAGATGTTGTGCAGAAACTATTATCTTTCATTGACAAGCCTGTACCTGATTCTCAAAACTTAACTGGTAATGCTCCTATATCTTCTTGGTTAATTGACAGCGGAGCTTCTCAACATATGACAGGTAACCGTACATTGCTTCATGATCTTCATACCATTGCTCCATCACCGGTTGGATTACCAGATGGTTCCACTACTGTTACGAATCAGGAAGGCAATGTCTATCTTTCTCTAGAATTAACATTGAACAATGTTCTCCTTGTCCCTAACCTTACTTGCAATTTACTTTTTGTCTCCCATTTATTAAAATCTTCTCAAGCTACTATCACTTTCAATAATTCCACTTGCTTTTTGCAGGACCACATACAGAAGACGATGATTGGATTAGGTAGCTTGGATAATGGTGTATATGTGTTTAACCCACCCAAACGTCAAGCTTTCACAACTCATGTAAACCCTGATTTGTGGCACAAACGTCTGGGCCATCCTTCCCACGATGTTCTTTCTTTTCTTCCTTGTAATTCTTCTGGCATTAGCAAAAATAAGGTTGACATATGTGATGTATGTTCACGAGTTAAAATGACTCGATGCCCATTTCCTTTAAGCAGTAATAAAACATTTGTTTGTTTCCAACTAGTACATTGTGATATATGGGGTCCGTATAGCATGTCAACAATCACAGGTGCTCATTACTTTCTTACAGTGGTTGATGGTTTCAGTAGAAATACATGGGTTTATCTTATGGCTGAGAAATCTGAAACTAAAAATATTCTCACTCGATTTTTTGCTATGGTAACAACACAATTTGGAAAGAAAGTACAAGTGTTTAGAACTGATAATGGCACTGAATTTTTGTCCCATTCCATGCGCAATTTATACTCTAATCTTGGAATTATTCATCAAACTTCATGCATTGACACTCCTCAACAAAATGGATGTGTGGAACGTAAGCAACGAACAATCCTTAATATGGCCCATGCACTTCGTTTCCAAGGAAATCTGCCGGTACAATTTTGGGGAGAATGCATTCTCACTGCTGCACATCTTAGTAATAGAACTCCAAGCAAACTTCTTCAAGGCAGAACCCCTTATGAACTACTTCATGGTCGTCCTCTATCCTATGATCCTTTGCGTACGTTTGGATGCTTATGCTATGCCTCTATTCGCCCTAAACCTTCAGATAAATTTGTTACACGCTCCATACGTTGTATTATGCTCGGTTATCTTTATGGAAAAAAAGGGATGGAGATTAATGAGTCTTGGTACAAATAGTATATTTGTATCTCGTGAAGTTCATTTTCAGGAATCAACCTTTCCTTTTGCTAATGCCTCTTCACGCAACTCCACTCTTATTCAACCTAATGTACAGCTACCAACCGAAATTACACCAGCTGAAGAACACACAGATTTATCACAAAATACCGCATCTCCTCCCATTACTACTTCACCTCTTCAACCGGACCTCTCCTCCAACGACAGGGGGAGTTCTGATTCTCCTACATATCCAGACTCCACCTCACCTGATCAACCAACACCATCTGAGAGTGAAACACATCATAATGATAGCCCTCGACCACAACGCATATGTCGTCCTCCACGATATTTGGAAGACTACACTTGCAACCATATACAAACACATGTACATCAGTCCAAGTCATCTACTCCATCAGTCTCTTCTGGTGTAAGGTATCCTATTCAAAACTTTCTTTCTTATTCACCTTTTACTTCCAAACACATAAACTTTTTGGCAGCCTTGTCTACCGAAGCTGAGCCCTCCTCTTATAAACAAGCCATGACTAATCCAAGATGGTGTGAAGCAATGCAAGCAGAAATCAAGGCACTTCAAGATAATAACACATGGTCACTCACTCATCTACCTTCCGAAAAACATGTGATCCCTTGCAAATGGATCTATCGGATAAAATATAAATTTGATGGTACGGTGGAACATTTCAAAGCTCGCCTTGTGGTTGCTGGTAATCATCAGGTGGATGGTGAAGATTTTACAAAAACTTTTGCACCTGTTACTAAGATGGTAAGCGTCCGAACCTTCCTTTCAGTTGTTGTTGCAAAGAATGGGAAATTCATCAATTAGATGTTCATAATGCACTCCTGCATAGTGATCTCGACGATGAGGTTTACATGCGTCTTCCTCAAGTTTTCCATGCTGCATTTCCATCTCAAGTCTGCCGCCTACGTAAATCCCTCTATGGTTTACGTCAATCACCAAGGAACTGGTTTGCTAAACTATCCAAGTCACTTATCAACTATGGTTTTGTTCAATCCAAGGCTAACTACACTCTTTTCACTTTTGCTCGCAATGATGTCTTCTTGGCAATTTTAATCTATATTGATGATATTTTATTAGCAGGCACAAATTCTGCAGCTTGTACTAAACTAAAGTCATATCTTAATTCTTGCTTTCAAATCAAGGACCTTGGCCCGTTGAAATATTTTTTGGGGATTGAATTTGCACGTAACTCTTCAGGACTATTTATGACTCAACGAAATATGCAACTGATATTTTGAATGAAGCAGGCTTAATTGCATGCAAACCGGTTGAGTTTCCTATTGAACCAAATCATAAACTAGCAACTGTTGAAGGCCCTGACTATAACGATCCTCCACGGTATCGTAGGTTCATAGGAAAGCTCATCTACCTTACTATCACTCGACCAGAATTATGCTATGCGGTCCATGTTCTGTCTCAATTTATGCAGCAACCCAAATTGGATCATTAAAATGCTGTTGTTCGCTTATTACACTATGTCAAGGCTAATCCTGGTCAAGGACTTCTTCTCTCTTCATCATCCGATCTCCAACTTCATGGCTACTGTGATCCGATTGGGCCAGTTGCCCCATTACTAGAAGATCAGTCACTTGTTATTTTATTCAACTTGGATCTTCTCCAATCTCATGGAAAACTAAAAAGCAGCCAACTGTCTCACGCTCTTCGGCTAAAGCTGAATAGAGAGCTATGGCTTCTGCAACTTCTGAATTGGTTTGGTTGAAAGCTTTTCTCAAATCTTTAGTAATCTCTCATTCTTCACCTATGCAACTGTTTTGTGACAGCCAAGCTGCTTTGCATATAGCAGCTAATCCTGTCGAATTGGTCTCATACTAATTTAAGAATCTAACTAGCTTATGTAAAATCGGTTCAAGAATTTAATTACTTTTTTCTAAACCGATTTGAAAATCAAAAGAATCAAAATAGTTTTTTTTTCCTTAACTATTTTTTCATATATATATTTTTGTCTTAAAATTGTTTCGAAACCAAAGTTCTATACCAATTTGGAATCAAAAAAATAAAACGGTTTGATTTTTGAACTGAACCATTAAAATTGATTTGATTTAATTTGGCATAAAATTCAAGCCGAACTGAATAATGCCCAGTTCTAATATCAGCAAAATTAATTTGAAAAATGAAAGGAAAAAAATTTGTCATTTTAAAAGACATAGAATTATGTCATTTTAAATAAAAGAAAGGCACAACTTAAATTTTTTATTTAAAATTTAAATTTAAAAAATACTCACTTTCTCTTCTATAATTTTCATTACTTGTATCTTTTTCTCACTTAAAATATCATAACTCTATAGTCTTTAAAAGAACAAATACTAAATTCAAAATAAAATAGAAGAGCTATGCCGAGGCGGATACAACCATGTAAAGGAGGCAAGGGTGTCTTCCCTCTTAACTTATAAAATTTTAATACATTCATATATAAATATTTGTAACAGTAAGATTTTAAATTGATGCCTACATGGGTAATATTTATTATCTGAGTGGAGTTTACCTACAATAAATACAGGATAAGTATTTTTTATATTATAGAAAATAATTTTATCTAATATGTGTATGAGATTTATATTTTTATTTTATTTTTTTATATGGGCTCCACATATTTTTATTTGTATATAAGAAATAATTTTATATCCTACAACACAAAAAATATTAATGCCAATAAATACATGAACTTGATCATTAGATGCACCTAAGACCAGCCTAAGAAGAGATTTACAGTGGGCTGACCCGAATCATTAAGATGGGCTTGTCCAACCCATTAAAGAGATGAGTTTTTAGGCCTTGGCCACTGATCTGGCCCATCTTGACAATTCTAAGCAACCCAATTGGCCCATTCCTCTTTCTTTTCTTCTTCTTCTTCGGCTCCTTTCACTTCATCTGCTTCTCACTGCCTCAGCATACTTCGGAGTTGTTTCTGTGTTTACTCTTTCCTCAACTATGAACCCACCCACCAATCAGTTATTACGCAAGTTTCCAAATTGAAGACAAAAGACAAAAGCTTGCTCGAATTTAAGTACCCCCGTTGAGGTCTTTATTCTTCTGCTTTGAAAAAGAAAGGATTTTTATTTCGTTTTGATCCATTTTTCATCGCAATTTAATGCCATTGTTGCTAAGCTTAATTATTTTTTGTGGTTAGTTGATTTATCTTTTATCTTTAATCAATTGGTTAATTTTGTGTTGTAAATTTTGTGTGTGTTTGCATTAGAATAACTTATTTATGTCAAGTTGAAGTGTTTTGAGCACATTAAAGGGGAGAGAGAGAGAGAGAGTGGGGTTTCAGTTTCAGTTTTAGTGTTTTGTGTTCAAAGTTCCATGACAATAAGGTGGCCAAGAGTGTTGACACCAAACTACCTCTCTCAGATTATAAGAACCCAAAAGAACTCATTGGAAGCTTTGCAAATTTTCAATGAAGCCAAATCTAGGTACCCCAAATATTGCCACAACGGTCCTGTGTATGCCACCATGATTAGCATCCTTGGAACATCAGAGAGACTCATAGAGATGAGGGATGTGATTGAACAGATGAGAGATGATTCTTGTGAATGCAAAGATTCAGTCTTTGTGTCTGCTATTAAGACATATGCAAAAGCTGGGATGGTAGATGAAGCAATCTCTTTGTATAAGAGCATTCCTCAGTTTAACTGTGTGAATTGGACAGAATCCTTCAATACCCTTTTGCAGATAATGGCGAGTGAGAACCGGCTTGAAGATGTTCACTCTCTTTTTGTTGAAAGCTCTTGTGGTTGGGAAGTGAAGTCTCGAATTCGGGCATTGAACTTGCTTATGTATGTTCTCTGCCAGAAGGGGTGTTCTGATTTGGCATTGCAAATATTCCAAGAGATGGATTATCAAGGTCGCTACCCGAATAGGGACAGTTATGCAATTTTGATGAAGGGATTGTGTCAAGATAGGAGATTACATGAGGCCACACATTTGTTATATTCAATGTTTTGGAGAATCTCACAGAAAGGTAATGGTGAAGATGTTGTGATCTACAGAACTCTTTTGGATGCTTTATGTGATGATGGAAAATTTGAAGAAGCTGTGGAAATTCTTGGTAAAATTTTGAGGAAAGGACTGAAAGCTCCGAAGCGATGTTATAACCAAATTGATCTTAGTCAGTGCTGTGATGGTAAAGATATTGAAGGCATGAAATGCTTGATTCATGAAGCTTTGATCAGGGGCTCAGTTCCCAGTTTGGCTAGTTATAATGCCATGGCTGTTGATCTATACAATGAAGGTAAGATAGGTGAGGCTGATAATGTTATCTTTACAATGCAAGAAAGAGGCTTTAAACCAACACATTCTATCTTTGAGGCAAAGGTAGCTGCATTGTGCAAGGATAGTAAAGTGGATGAAGCAATCAAGGTAATTGAGGAGGACATGGTGGTAGTCAATTGTCTACCAACTGCTAAAGTGTACAATATTCTCTTGAAAAACCTATGTGATGTAGGAAACACAACAGAAGTGCTCGAAAGCTTGAACAAGATGTCGAACAAGGTAGGTTGCACAGGTGACAGAGAAACTTACGGCATTTTACTGGATATGCTTTGTCATGCGAGAAGGTATCTTGAAGCAAGCCAACTTCTTGAGAAAATGTCAATTAAATCATATTGGCCTTGTGCCAACAGTTACAATTCACTCATTAAGGGTCTTTGCTCCTTAGGCAGGCAATATGAAGCTGTTATGTGGTTGGAGGACATGATAAGCCAGGGGAAGCTTCCTGAAATTTCTGTTTGGAATTCATTGGCATCTTTATTTTGTAACTCAGATAAGATGAAAGTGTCCTCTGAGATATTTAATCGCCTAAGAAATTTGTGATTCTAAATGCTGTTGTAGTTATATAATAACTAAATAATTACTAGAATCCTATACTACCATTCTTTTTTTAATTTACTTATGCTTCTTCTTTAGCTTCAAAGACACCATATTTAGTGCTGATTCAGTTACTCACTTGGTCTTTCAAACTTGGTCAGTTAGCAACCTTGCATTCACTTTTGTGGCCCAAAACTTTTGTGCTGTTGCAATCCTTTTTGGTTATTTTTGTACTTTGCCTTGCTGTTGATAGGTTCATTGTTCTTCAGTTTGATAATGCTGCTACAACTTTGGCTGCAATAGAAGATATCCTCTATCAACATGGATTGATTCCCAGGATTAAAACTGTCAACTCAACTGTATTCTTTTTTTCTGTTTCTTTTTTCTCATCAACTTATCTGTTATGGTGCGTTTGGATGAGGAATCATAAGGAAGGAAAGTTGTAAAGAACCAAATCAATTATCAAATCGTGATTAATGACAATAAATTTAATATTTTTAAATTTTGAAAAAATAATTATTTCTTCAATCAAATTGTGGATCCTCACATACATAATTGATTATATTATTTCAAAAAATAGTTTCAAATATATATTAATTTGATAATTTATTTATAAACATATATTGATGGTGACTCTTTGCCAAATTATGCGTATATACTAAAAAAAATCTCATGTATATTCGTTGAAGAAAAAAACAGTTTTAGGTTGATTAATTAATGGGTTATATTAATCTACTATTGCTGGAGAGAAGTTATCTGCAGCACTCACATGCTTTTCATAATACGAAATTGCATCCTAAAAAACATGTAAATGTTGTAGATAATTTCTATTTCCTGCAACTGAAAACACATATTCCCCTTAATTAATCTATAGCTTAATGGTTTTCAAACTATAGTCAGAGTCCTCATCTAGAATCATTATCTCAGATAAGATAATGATTATGCAAACTAACTTGATCCAAATATAATTGATACCAAACTCGCCACTTGTCTATTTCGAATATGGATTGGTCACCAACTCCTCTACCAATTGGGAATAATTGGTTTTTTCTGGATTGAGTTCCCTTAAAAAAAAATTATTGTTGTCCTCGTTATATATATATGGGAAAGTATTTCTCCAGTTACTGGATATAAAGTTATTTCCAATGAGCTCAAAATGACGTCATTTTGTAGTTATAAGATTAAAAAATTATAATGATAAAGACTAATATAACTATGTAATATATTAGAATTACAAAAATATATTAATTTTCGCCTCAAAACGACGTCGTTTTAGGATCACCGGATATAACTTATATTTATTGACCGGAGAAATCCTTTACTTATATATCATATACTCAATTTAACGGTTAATTTTCGTACATATGACGATTATAATTTATTGATAATTAATAATTAATTAATGATAACAACTCAATCAATTGTAGTCGTTTGATATACGAAAATCAACGGCTAAAAGTAACTGTAAGATTTACTATTCTTGGATAACCAACCGTATCAGTTCCTTGTCTTAAGAATCCGATCGTTGTTAAACAGAGAATGGAGAGTGGAAATAGCCCATATTCATAGAGAAGGTAACACTGTAGCTGATTGGTTAGCTTCTTCTTCTAGCCACCAGGGTTGGGATTTGGATATCGTGGATTCACCTCCCGTAGATTGTATCAATTTACTAGGAAAGACCAGTTGGGAGTTGTTTCTCCTAGGTAGGTTGGTTGTTAGTTAGTTTGGTTGTTTTGTTTCTTATCTTCCTGTTATATCCAAAAAAAATCACGAACAAGCCCACCTGGGGCTATCATGTATAAGGGCGCATAGAATATACACTACAACAAATTCACCTTTTTGTGGCGGTTTAGCAATGGCGGGTTAATATAATCGCCTGCATTTTAAGTGATAAATTTAAAGTGGCCTTTCTTTATTATGTGTCTCTTCCAAAATCACCTTACGCCCTTGCCTTTTCCCTTTCCATAAGACACTCTTCCACTCTTACTCTTCACATTTATCCAAAATCTCGACATTTCAATCCCTTTAAATATTTCACTTTCAATATACTTTTTTCTCGTTCACAAGCAAGCGAGATATTTTGGATCTTGGAGAAGGGAAATGTGGTTTCGTTTAGGATAACTCTCACCATTGTTATTGTTATATAAGAACTTCCTTCCCAATCCTTATTAGGTTTGCGATTTTGCATCGAAATTGATTCATTCGAAATCTCTAATGCCAGAAGCACTAAGTTAATTCCTTATCTTCATTTTAAAATTTTGCATTGAGCTCAGTCACTCTGTTCTTTGTAGGTATTGTTGATGATGAAGGTATTGTTCTTTGTAGCTCTGATTTTGTGTTCTTCTCCAAATCCTCAATTCGAATATGTTTCCTAGAATTGAAATCACTTTGGTTCGCACCAAAATTTACAGGGTTGAAGAATATAATAGATGCTTCTGGTTTTAATTTTAATCTTTGATTTTCCTTTTGTTTTTTCTGGAATTATCGCTATTTTAATGAGCTTTTTGGCGTTTGGCAGAATCTGGTTTCGATGGCGCAAGCTCAGAATCCAATCGTGGGCGATCAACCACGCCTTTAGTTGTAAGTAATATATTCTACAAGCGTTCAATACTAGTGATTTAATTCTTAGGTTTTTCCCTTTCCGTGTAGATTTATTGATCTCGAATGTTGGTTTGTGCGAGTGAGATGGGAATGGTAGAGAATGAGAGTGAAGAACCCATCCCTATGCTAGTGCTAGCACAATTAGAGACTGATAACGTTAGTTACCTTGTAGCAATTTGGAGTAAATGAATGGATGGCACACATTACATGAGATTTAAGTGTACAATCACCTTCACACCTCACCATGCGTATGCTGGACAAGTGTGCAAACCTTGCCAACTCATGGGATGCATGCTTGCCACTTGGTAGCGAAACCTCCACTCTCCCTAGGTGCATGACCACCACTTGGCAAGAAGCCTTTGTGCATGGAAGCCACCTCATTCCCTCTCTAACTTTCGCCTGAATATTGTGACCACAATTCCCCCACTCAAACACTATACCCATTTTCTTACTCTACTCCATTTTCCCCAACCAAAGGACCTTCCCCCACCAAGCTTCATCATCACTAACATTTATTTATTTGTTTTATCAACTAAAGTTTTCAATGATCGCATTATGTTCGAGATATTTCCTTGTGGAATCTCTCGTTAGATAAAATTAACTTACCATTTTTTTTTTTACATCCACTGAAATTGTTTTTAGGATTCCCATTTTCGGTGTGACAATTGTAAATCACCTTACATTCACAATCATACGTGTAAAGAACCTTGGGATACACCACCCCAAAAGCTAGCTCAAGGGGTGGAAGTGCCCAAGGCCATATAAAGGCCATATTGATTGGATGGGCAACTAATATGGTCTTTATAAGGCTTTAGGCACTTTCACCCCTTGAGCTAGCTTTTGGGGTGGTGTATCCCAAGGTTCTTAACAATATGCAATGCCCGTGTTTGGTTGCATTTAGCAATCTTAGTATCCAATTAGATGCTTAGAGTAAACATGAGATGCTTGTGTGGTAATCTCATAAGAATGTACCAAACACAGGACATCTTGCTTCAGAATCCAATATGCTTGGGAACTACTGATTATAGATTGGTCAACAATGAAAGGAATTTATGGCTGTCGCAACCGGATCGCGACGTGACGGCGAAAAATGAAAGTTTAAAATCAATGGAGTCGCCACCAAAGTTTATTTCGGAAAACATTGGAAAAACCTTTTCGTTTGAGAAAACTGGTCTTTGAAATAAAAAATGGGTTCGGGAGTCGATTACGAGTAGGAAAGGTATTAGCACCCTACAACGTCCGTTAAAAAATACAGTTACCTTATATTGATTGTACAAATTATTGATAAGATTTTAAATATTTATTTCACCCTAAAAAAATAAATAAGAATAATTATTGGAAAAGAAAACTAATTTTGAAAATTTATTTTTGTGCTTGACGGGAAGGGTCCCGCTCCGACGTATCCCTCGGTACAATATGAAACTTAAAGCTACGTCGTTCTGTAAAAAATATTTGTGCATTGGTTGATTTTAATTTTTGAAAAGATTTTGAAGGAAAATATTATTAATTTTGAAAAAGGATCCATCATAGCTCAGAAATTTAAGGTAGCACGGCTACACGTAAATTCTTACGAAGATTACAACATTTGAGGATGGAAGACCATACATCAACGTTGTAATTTGTTGCTAGCATATTTTATAATAAAAATCTATTAGATAGATAATTTCGATTTTTTTGACTTTTTGAAATCTTGAGAGAAAATATTTAATTTAGAAAATGAATCCACGTTGCGCAGAATAGAAGATAGCACAGCTATACGTATACCCATATGATATTTACAACACTTAAGGATGAAAGACCATACATCAACGTTGTAAATCATTGCATGGATTAAAACAAAGTTTAAAATTTAATTTTGTATTTTTTAATAATTTTTATGACAAAATAATTGATCATATCATCACTATAAATATATATATACTACACAATGAAAATATATCATGAAGGCTAGCAAGAAAATAATCAGAAATAAAACACTGGTGATAACACAATTTTTTTTATTTTTTTTTATTTTTTTGTTGCTATTTCTTAAAATATTTAATCTATTTCATAAATATACTATACGAAAAAAACCATAAACTATATTAAGATGAGCAAAACACATCACCATTTTTTGTATTTTATATCTTTGATAAATCTTAACCTGAGTAAACATTTTTATCATTTTTTTCTTTTTATAATTTTTGAAGTTTTATAACAAAAAAATGCCTAAAAAAAATGTATAACTAAAAAAAAAAAAAAAGACCGCGGACCTTTTGTAGACTATTACATCAGCATATGATTTAACTAATGTACTTTTCATTATCAATGTAATGGGCTTGGCCCATTTTCCTTCTATCAGGTTAAAATTACACAAATATCTTACACTAATAACTTAATTATAGAGCATAATCCTTTAATACATTAAAACGATGTATAACTTAATCCGGCCTAAGGGTGAAGGATAAGGCCTGATAAGATATTGATGTATTAACATCATTGACCAATGTAATTCTAAAAAATTAGTATATTATTTTAATATTAATCTATTAAAATAAAAATTAATTTTTCAATATATTAATTTTTAAAATATTGAATATTTTTATTTTTATAAAAATTAATTTATATTTTGGACACACTGATCCATAAATTTTTATAAAAATTATCATATGACATTTTTTGAAGAATTATATAAATTCTTTATTAAAGGATATTTTTATTTAAAATATTTATTTTTATCATATATAGTATTATAGTGCATTACCAAATACTAGATGATATTATCTTATACAATATACTATTTTATACAATATCATGCCAAACACTGGATAGTATTAAAATTCAATCAGGTCTTATACAATCAGGCCTTATACTATCAGATCTTATACTATCAGGCCTTATCTTATACTATGTACCAAATATGCCTAATAACCTAATAGATATACGATGGCCATGAAGTTAGGTAAGAAAACCTTACAGGGGTGAGCAGGAAAATGACGACCGATTGTCTAGCAAGGTGTCGCACGGTGGTGAGGTAGAGTTGTGGTACGCACAGTGGCGAGGTAGTGCGGAGGCATTCTGGCCGGTGTGCACAGTGGCTCGAGACAACTTGGACCGGTGGTTGAGGTGGCGTGCACTGTTTGTCGGAGCGATGGTCCGATAGTGAGACAAATGCTAACTGGGCGGTGGAGAGACGATGGTGTATGGTGACCGGAATCAATGGTCGGAGGTATTTGTGGGTAGTGACTGATGATATGATTTTGGTTGTGTTAGATCTCAAAGTTTGTGTGTTTTTGGGTTTGTTGGTGTTTAAATGTAAAGAAACTTGGAGTTTCTCTAAGTCTCTTCCTCTGTTTTTTTTTCTATCTTCAAGATTTTATTTTATTTTTGTTTTTATCGGAAGTGTATCTCCCCTTTTTGTTTTCTGCCTCATGACTTTATAGAAGAAGGAAGATAAATTTCACTCCCTATTGTCTGCTGAATCAAAGAAAGCCATGGGTTTTCTAGTGTAGTGCTAGGAGGTTGCTTGTGCAAATCAAATGGGGTTCAATTTACCGTCTATGTCAATTTGCCATTTTTGTTTTCTGCATTTTTCTTATGAATAGACTTGCACAGACCTCCTTGCCTTGTGCTGATAGATAAGTCACCTCCATCTTTATTATTTATTTTTTATTCTTTTGTTCTATTTTTTTAACTTTAATTTTCTGGACAAAATTTGGTGTCTACAATGGCTAATATACTTGATTCAAATTTTTGCTAGTATTTGTTGAAACCTCAATTAAGAAATTGATTGGCCAAAATTAAGAAAATCAATTAATTAAATTAATTGACTGAAATTGGGAAAACCAATCAATTGGATTGATTGGATAAAATTAAGAAAATTACCCAATAAGATTGAGATTTGATAAGAGCGCTGATTTGACCTAGTCTTAGGTTAATAAGGCGCCACACATATATATAGCCCATTTTCTTCCTTAGTTCTGTAACTCTCTTTTTCTCTAATTTTTTCCTCTGAAACCCTAGCCAACACATCAGCGCCTATCTCTCTTGGAATAACCAAAAGTACCGCCCACTTTATGTTGTTCTCTTGAGTCTAGCAACCTCCATTGAAGGACATTGGGGATTCGAAGAAACGTTCTTCTCTTACAAGATAACAAGGTGGTGTGGATTTCCATCGGAGGACTTGTGTTCTTCAAGTCTGAAGAATTGATCAAGAACGCATCTGATCAGGAATAGTTATCCAAATAAAGATATCAACTTTAAATCCCTAACATGTCTATTGTATGATTTATGGGTTGAACATGATTGAGAGTGGGCAAAGGTTGCTTCTTCCGCACACAAAAATTTAATTCTTCCCTCTTCTATGTTCATGGCCTACAAAGGTTGCTTCTTTTGCGCACAAAAATTTAATTATTCCATCTTTTATGATCATAGCCTACAAAAGGCTACTTTCATCCTCAACTTTGCAGCGCCTTCCAACTTGCACAAAGAAAGTAAAATTCTTCTGTAGTGAAATTTATTCTTTGTTTTCATTTTGAACTTGTATTTTGTGTATTAAATGACATTATGATATCATGTTTTTCATAAAATTTATTATTAAAAAAAACATTAATTTAATCTATAACAAATATTTAGGATTTTTATTTTGTTGTATAGTTAGGGTATCCTTCATTCAGCTTTTACGTTAATCAAGTACAAGGGCGCATACCAATATCTGTTTTATGCATTTAGGAGAATTAACGAAGAAGTTTATAAAGTTTTAATGAAGCTAATTTTGTGAAAATATTTCTATAATTTAAAGTTATTTATATTTCCTGTGATAATAATATAAGAAAAATATTTCTGCAGTCAATGCGCATTTACTCCCAAAACTTTTGGTGTTAAACTATTTAAAAAGTATAATTATAAAGACTATTATAACCCTGAAATAAATTAAAATTTTAAAAATACCTTGATTTTCGTCTCAAAATGATGTCGTTTTGGGCTCAGTAC